GTAAGTGAATAACATATCTTAAGAATTCTACAAATTAAGAAAGTTTTGTGAGTGTGTGTGTTAAGTGTATGTTTGGATAAATATTTTACTAAGTACATATATAAAGACATTAATATATAAGGATATAAATTGCAGGTATAATGTAAATAGTGGTGTAATATCTTCATTAGTGATTACATAGCTTTAGTAAAATGGAAAATACATGTAAAGTGGAGAAAGTCAAGCTATCTCTAAATTATATAAACCATTTAAAAGTTTTGAATAGTATTAAACTTTTGAATTTTAATTGAGAAAAAAGTAAAATGAGAAATAAAAAGAAAAAAGCATCTTTGCTACTGCATTTCATAGATAGAAATGTACTTATTTATGTTGGACATTATAACAAGTTTCTGTACTTGAGATAATTTAAAATATTTGAAGGAAATAAAATGAATAATATCACTTCAACACTAATACAATTTCTTTGATACTGTAAATACATCCAAAGTCTAAATGTATTATTAATAAAATAACTGTACAATTTTTATCTTAGTATCTTCCTTGCAGGGACATTAACTTAAAAAGTGATTTTTTAGAACAGAAGTATTAAATTACACGAAGAAAATACTTTTGCTGTTGAATATTTAGTGTGATTTCATATATTCTTATTAAATTTACTTAATCTTATTAACATATTTTATTAAATTTCACAAGCAAATTAAAAATAAATGTACCAAATTAAAAATGATTCATAAATTTCTTTTATTTTCTTTATTTATATTAACATTGTTTATATTTGATTTTTCTTTTAATTATGTATGAGTCATACAACGTATATTCAAATACGTTTTCAGACATCAGTGTGTATTCATGTGTTCCCTTATATTCATCATGATGTTAAATATTTTTATTTTATTTTATTATAATTACTACAGAATTCTTAGTTACTTAAACTTTTCAGTTAAGAGCTTTGAGAATAGAAAATTTGACGGCCAAGAAAAGAAGGCAAAGTGAAAGAAAAATTAGTTTGTTTATTTTGTTCAATTTATCTTTGAAGAAATACTTAGTGGCATTAAATTTTTTAAGCACCATTCATATAGCTGATAGTACAAAGGTAAACATATCATAAGTTACTAAAATATAATCTTGGAGAAAAACCATATACACTAGCTAGCCATTCATCTAAGATAGCAAAATTTAAAATATCTTAAAATATTAGCAACTTCTCAAAGTTCTTTTCTCTCAACTAACACTGCAGCAATGAAAAAACTTTTGAACATATTTGAGAAAAAATTCAATGTACATATCATGGCTTCAAATTTGTTTAGAAATGTTTTCTTCTAAAGTACAAAATGACACCAGTTTTCAAAGTAATTTTTGATCTTATCTAGTCAGTACAGTATCACACTCTTACCGTGAAGTCTTCAAATTCCAGTACTTTGAAGAAAATCGAAATTCCCACTTCTTAGGAACTACATGAGGAATCGTAGGAAAGATCACACTTGATTGACTCCCAGGCTCCTCTGGAAAATTTCGAGATGCGGTGTTGCGCTGCGCTGCAGACGTGTGCATTCACTGCCACAACAACGTCAGTGTGTCGCTGCTTACTTGGTGCTATTTTGGGATCTCCAAGTACAGCCGCAAACACTGAGCCTTTTGTGCCGACATAAGGGCACTCTGATAATCGTTCATAGTCTCGTATTAAAATGCAGACAGCTAAGCAAGTAGTATGAGCTGATTATCTTCTTCTCCTTTTTTTGTTTTTTTCTTGTATTTTTCCTAGTAACATGCAGCAAAAGAAAATAAAGTACTCATTAGCCTGGGGTGACAAGGAGGTAATTCAACTTCTGTAAGAGAATTCTGAATGTGGGAAGAAGGTGCACCACTTGGGGATTAGCTGATGAAACAAATGAGCAGTTTAAAGTAGGCACAAAAGTTACTACAAAGAGAAAAGATTTTCTATTGTTTGTGTAAGCCTTTTGATTGGTTCTTATTTACTCATTTATTATGGATTCAAGGAAAAAAATAAAGGGTAGTGTCTATATGACAATAAAGTTTCATTTATTCTTACTGTATGTATTAAATAAAGATGATTGCCATTATATTCATACACATAATATGATTTTACTATGAAACAGTATTGCTTTGTTAAAAAACATCCTTTTTAACTTCTGTGCTGTGTTGTTTTTAGTTAAAAGTGTTTTTGAATCAAATCAGAGGTCATTTTAAAGATATTTGAAACATTGTACTTGTACTGTAATTTATACCTATAAAACCATTTGTGAAGGTTTAAATATGCAATTAGTGTGAAGAGAAAGTTTCCTATTTCAGAAATACACTGAGCCATGCAAAATGTGACTATATTTAAGTCTTTTTTACCATAACATGGAAAGGATAGTGAGAGAAGGAACAAATAGCTAATTGTAAAAATTAGAAAAATCATGTGATGTCTGAATTTGGTTGGATGTTTTCTTTAATGTATAAGAGCAAAAAATTGCCAATTACAAATTGGAAAAACTCAGGTGGCTCTATATATGAAACAAAACTAAATTTTATATTTTGCCTGTTAACATCTTGCATGATATGAACTTATGTGCTTACTTATAAGGCCACTTTTATAAGCAGACACATTTTATTTCAATTGTGAATCTTAATAAAATACCCACATTAATTCACATACTTTAGCATAAATTTTTGCAGTACACAGGTAAGAAGCGAGGGAGGGTGGGAGAGAGAGAGAGAGACAGAGACAGAGACAGAGAGACGAACACAGATAGACAGAGACAGACAGACAGATTCACCAAATAAATTTAAAAAGCATAATCACTTCAGAAAAGTTTGTAAAAGGTTCACATTCTCTTGATTTAGCACATGCAGACTTTCACCTGTGGGGGAAACTAGACGATGCTGAATATCATGGAAAAGCCACCATAGAGTTGGTCCTTAGAGAAGAAATTGAAAATGAATGTGCAGCAATCTCATTGATCAGAATTTCCCAAGCAGCATTTGCCATACTAATAGATAGCTGAAATTTAATGATCATCACTTTGAGCTCCTTTTGTTGTTGTAGAGGCCAAGTTCAATTTGTATGAATCTCATGATGCTTCAATAAATTTAGTCTTAAAATATTCACACATGAATGTCAGACATCAAACAATTTCTCAAATGAAGAAATACAAAGAGCAGATAAATATATAAAAAATGTTCAACTTCATTGGTCATGTGAGAAATGCAAACTAAAATAACAAAGAGTCCATCTAAATCCAGAAAGAACTGTTATCATTAAGCAATTGACAAATAACAATTGCCAGAGGGGCTGTGGGGCAAAACGAATCCTTCTCCACTGTTGATAGGAGTGTAATCTGGTGCAACCACTGTGGAAATCAGTGTGAAGATTCCTCAGAAAACTAAGATTAGATTTCCCATTCCACCTAACTATTCCTGTGTTGGCTATCTTCACAGAAGAATTATAAAAATCATACCACAGTGTTCTACATGAACTCATATTTATAGCAGCATAATTTGTCATAACTAAATATAGGAAGCAACCCATAGGTCCATAACCAAAGAGTGGATGAAAAAGATGTGGTATTTTATAGAATTTAGTACTACCTAACTATAAATAAAGATAAACCCCAGATATTTATAGGTAAATGGATGCAACTGCAGACCATAATTATAAATGAAATAATAATCCAGACTCACATGTCTAAATATCACTGTCTTCCAAGTGTAAGAAACTGAAAGAGTAACTAAGATTGAAAAGGTATAATACATATAGTGAATTGAAAAGGAACTGCTCAAAAGGAAAGGTCATCTTTGATGGGGAAAAAGAGGAAAGAAGCAAGGAGGAAAAAGTTTCAGATATATACACAAGATAGCTATGATAATTATACTACTAATATCTATTAGGTCATTTAAAGGAAGTCAATGCTTATATTTGATCAATTTTACATACCTCTATCTGGTAATCTGAATAACTACTTTGAAGATAAAATACAATAAACATTGTTCATTTCATATCATCTTGTTTTGAAATTTGATACCATTTTTCTTGGGTTTTTATCTCTAAAAATAAATAAATACATAAAATACAGGAGTTTTTATTTTTCTGAAGTAGTATTTTTTTTACTTTCAATAAATTATTTTTTATTTTACAGAATACAAAATAGTACTAAAATCAAAAATTACAAGTGATACAGAATTTCACTTAACAAAGAAATATGAATTTTATAGTATTTGTTGTAATGCTTAATGTTGTCTTACAACCAGCTCCTCATATTGCAAGATACATGCATGCACAATAAAAAGAAAAAAGAAACATATAAGAAATTAAGAAGAGTAAAAGGAGAAACAATTGAAAAAAGGAAACAAAACAAATTAAGTATTATCTGCTCTTTTCCAATGACCAGCAAAAATCCTTAATACAGTTGTCAAATCATTCTGTTTACATACATAGTTATATCTCCATCAATTCCTCTCCTGTTTTCCTCATCTCAGTAAATCTTTCCTTTTATTTATTACTGGGAATTGAACTCAAGACCTTGAGCTTGCCAGCAAGTGCTTATTCTACTGAGCTACCTCCCCAGCCCCAATCTTTTCTTTCAAATAAGTTCACTCCTTTTCCCAGTATCTAATGTACTCTTCAGATTTTATTTTCTCCTTCAGGTTCTCACAGTAAAGAGACAATGTGATAATTGCACATGCAGACCTGTTTTATTTCTCCTAAGAGAATGTTATCTATTTACATCCAATTACCAATAAAAACTCAAATTTATCCTGTTTTATAACTGAATAATACTTGATTGTGTTAAAATACCACATCTTCTTGATCCATTCTTCAGGTGGTGTGCATCTGAGTTGTTTCCAGGATTTAGCTATGACAAATTGCACTGCTATAAACATGGGTGCTCGTATACAACTGTGGTATAATGTTTTTGGTTCTTCTTAAAAATACCCACAAGGGAAATAGCTGGCTTGAATAGAATCTCAAATCACAGTTTTTGAAGGAATCTCCACACTGATTTCCATAATAGTGGTAGCAGTCTGCACTCCCACCAACAGTGCAGAAGGGCTCCTTTTTCCCCACGTGCCTCCAACATTTGTTATTTGCTGACTTCTTGATGTTAGTCATTCTTTCTGGTGTGAGATGGTATCTCAGTATTGCTTTAACTTGCATCACCTGAATGATCAATGATGTGGAACATGTTTTCACATATTTACTTATCATTTGTATGTCCTTCTCTGAAAAGTGTGTATTCATCTCAGATGACTATTTTTGGATTAGGTATCTGAATTTGGGGGACCTGATTTTTTAAAATTCTTTATATGGTCCAGATAAAATGCCTTTATCAGAAGGATAGCTGGCTACAATTTTTCCCAGTTTGTTGGTTTTCATTTTACCATATTGGAGATTTGTTTTGAAGTGCAGAAACTTCAAAAATATGAGATCTCAGTTGTTGATTCTCTGAAGTATTTCCCATAAATTTTGGCTTTTTCCCCATGAACTCTGTACCAACTCCTATCTTTAAGATTTCTACCCATATTTTCATCCAGAAGATTTACTGTTTAGTCAAAATGTTAGGCATCTGTATCAAATATGGGTTGGCAGAGTGTATTTGCAGTTGAGTCTGCATCTTCTTATTTGTTTCGTTGATCCCTAGATCTGTCTCTATGGAAATACCATGCATTATAGTGTAATTTCAGGTCAGACATTGTGATACTTCCTCCCTTACCTTTGTTTCCCAGGATTGCTTTGGGCATTGTGAGTCTCTTCTGCTTCCATCTGAATTTGAGGAAATTTTTCTCTAGCTCTGTGAGATGTACTATGGTATTTTAATCAGGATTAATTTGAACCTGTATAACAATTTTGGGAGTATGGTCATTTTGACAATATTGGTTCTTCTAATTCAGGAGTATGGAATATCTTTTCACTTTCTCAAATTGTCTTCAATTCCTTTTCTCAAAGTACCATCATTTTCACTCCATAAATCTCTTTCTTCCTTTGTGAGATTGAATCCTAAACATTTCATATTTTTTGTAAGTTATTGTGAAATGTGTGATTTCCCTAAGTTTTCTCTCAACGTGTTCATTGTCTGGGTATAAAAATGCTACTGATTTTTGGTATTGACTTGGTATCCTCTTACATTGTGGAATTTAGTGTTTAAATCTACAAGAATTTTGGTGGAATTTTTAGGTCCTCTATATACAGTATCATTTTATCTGCAAATAATGATAGTTTCACTTCTTTTCCAAACCTTACTTTTTTTTATTTATCTAATGTCAAATTGTTCTGGCTAATGTTTCTAGAATTATATTGAATAGTAGTGTAAACTTTGAACATTCTTGTCTAGTTCCTGATTTTAAAATGAACGTCTTCAATTTTTGCCCATTTAGTATAATGTTGGCTCTTGGTTTGTCATACATGGCTTTTATCAAGTTGAAGTAATGACAATCTATTCTGATTGTCTCTAGTGTTTCTTTTTTATCATGAATGACAGTGGGACTTTGTCAAAAGCTGTTTCTGCATCTGTTGTGTTGATCATGTGGTTTTGTTCTTGGCTCTACTG